TAAAAAATGAAAGTTATCATTCATACAAATGTAAGTAAACATGTACCAAAGATTTTATCCAGTTTATTAATTACTGCAGGAACAAGAGAAATAGTGTATTTCAGAGAGCTTCTGAGGAACCCTGAATTCATAGGCCATTTACCAATTTTTCGAATAAGATCCCTATGTAAGTTACAACCTGATTGATGTCCTGTAGATCCTAACCTTTGGGATTGTCTCTTTTCTCTGAAGGAAATTACTTGCAGCTCTACTGGCCCCAAACCTACAAATTAGCATGTAAATTCAATCTGGGAAATTCAGTTCAATAGCAAATAGAATAATGGACCAAATCTATTCCTCTAAGTAATAAAATAACTTTTGAATGGATCTTTGTCCCCATATTTTATTGAAAGGACATCACCTTTTTAAAGCTGTCCTCCTTACCAGCTTTTCAGTGTTTGTCAAGGAGTCTCCCCATCAGAAGTGTCATGATATGGGAAAGATGTAAACTTACCAAATGTTTGTTTCTGTGTTATAAAACCACTAATGTATTAAACATGCCTCTTTCCCAGTAAAGTGCAGTGAACCACAGAACACATTGTACAGTGAAACTGGCAAAGGATTAAATTGTGGAATATTGTTTTATATTTATAATGTGTTATGAAGCACTTTTAATAATGTCAGTCAAATGTTCCTGTTTTAATATGCATATTTCTAGGACGATTAATATACAGTACATCATGTTTCTGATTAATGCATAATTTAATCTCCAATAAGAAATTGTTAGTCCTGTTTCCCTCAGCTTTGTTTTTTGTTTGATTTTATTTAAAGGACTTTAAATGGCATAAGTGGGAGTTAAATTTAGAAGGTTAGCCTTTCCAAAAGGATGTCTATGTTGGTTTAGTGGGTTATGGCTCCATTTTAAAGACTTTTTTAAGAATTCTGTTTTGGAATAATTTTGTTAAAGAACAACTGCAAAGATAGTACACAGTTTTTAAATACCCCCTGCCCAGGTTCCTCCCTTTTTAACATCTTCCGTTACCATGGTATATTGGCCAAAACTTAAGAATCTTACATTAGTATACTTTAACTAAACTCCAGACTTTATTTGGATTTCACTAGTTTTTCTATTACTGCCTCCTTGCTTTTCCAGGATTCAGTTCCTGGTAAAACTTTAGTGGTCATGTTTCCCAAGTCTTTTCCAGTCATTGACAGTTTCTCAGTCTTCCTCTTCGATGGCATGTAGAAGATTCCCTAATCTGGTTTTGTCTGATGTTTTCCTCATGATTAAACTGAGGTTCTATGAGTGTTTGGAAGACTATCACAGAGGCAAAGTGCTCATCGTGTGTCTGGAAGTATGTGATGATACCCAGATGATACCTTAACTACATTACTTGGACAAAGTAGTATTTGTCAAGTTTCTACTCTGCAAATGTCATCCCCTCTCCCTAATCTGTTCTTTGGAAGTGCATCACTAAGTCTAGTCTACTCTACCTGGGGTGGACTTGGGGAGGGAGATTGAATTAACCACCAGTTAGAGGGAGTATCTGAAATTCTTTAGGGAAGATTTCACCTTTATTTAGTCATTTACATTAGAATGGACATTTACTTTGCAGTTTGGGTTATCATTCAGTACTGTTATTTACTTTGTTGATTAAACTGGCTTAGCTTCAGTTATTGCAATTTGTGCAGATTGATTCTTTTGTCTCTTTGACATGCCCTGTCCTTTATCCCCACTCTCTGGTACTACAGCAGGGCCCAGTTTTTTGGTTTTGTTTTTAGGTTCTGTTTACCACCTGTATTTTCCTTTTCTTTCATATCTTTTCTTTGCCTTTCCTCTCTCAGTTTCCTTTCCCTTTTCCTTTTCTTACCTTATTTCTGTCTCTCTCCCTCCCTCTCTCTCTCTCTCTCTCTGTTGGCACATCATTGTCACCCTAAGTCTTTAGTTCACATTAATGTTCACTCATGTTATACAGTCCGCAGTCCTCCCTCACTACATCACAGTTCACTTATTACATGTGGCTTCACTGTATCGCGGGTTTTAAAAAAAAATTAAATAAAAATAAAATGCTATATAGTATGTATTTTATCAGCGGATGAATACTGTACTGTACACGATAGAAATGCAGTACAGCCACTGCTACCTGCCTGAGCCCGGCAGGACCACCTGGTTGCGCGAGCGGACCTGCACCGGGCAGGTACTGCTTACAGGCAAAGAGAGCGCGCGGCACCGCCCTGGCCCCTGCCCACGCTAGGAAGCAGCCTGGGCAAGGCGAGTGGTGCAGACCTGGTGCAGGCTGGGCTCTGGGCTTGGCGCGGCTGCGGCTTGGTTGGGTCCCGCTTGCCCCGCTCCCAGCCCACTCCAACCTCCATCCACACCTGCCCTGTCCTCCCCTCCTGCCCTCAGAACTGAGAAGCGGATTCAACAGGGGCGTCCCTAGGCACTGCCCCAGCTGGAAGCCAAGGCTTTGAGAAGGGTCTCCCCAGGAAGGTGTGCAGGAGTGTGCGAAGGGTTTATGGTTTATAGGAGTGTGGGAAGGGTTTATAAAGCCTTAAAATATATATAAGTAATCAAATAGGGGCTGGGGATTTAGCTCAGCGGCAAAGCGCCTGCCTGGCAAGCGCAAGGTTGTGAGTTCAGTTCCCGGTACCGAAGAAAAACAAAACAAAACAAA